AATGAATATTCCCACTAAAGTATAGCTGTACAAATCAACGTTTAATATAAAGTATATGCAGCTATTCTCTTTTCGTTCTTTCGTTCATCCCGACAATACACAAAAGAAAGAGAATCAGAGAAGAAAAAACATATGCAGAAATATGCCGAAAAAAAAATGGGAGAATAGAATTAAAATCGCTAGTTTCTACGCAAAAATAGTTTTTCGTTTCTTTCTCAAAAACTAAGAGTTGTCCAGGAAAAGGTTGTAGCATATCTGGGATCCTCGTTAAATTCCCCATCGATTGATGCATTCCGTTTTCTTGTAAACCAGTCCCAGGAAAAGTGACCTGTTTTGCTATGTATAAGAATGTCGCATACCGTTCATTGATATATCAATATCAATACTTGAATTTCTGATGTAAAAAATGCAATTGTCTGCTTCGTATCTTCAACTCAGTCAAAAAATAAACTATTGTAACGTTGCGCACGCTTTTTGAAGACAGACGATTCTCGATATTTCTGTTAGAAAAAAACAACTGTTTTTATGTTCTCTGTTTGCTTTTTTGTGTTTGCAAATAGCAGTTTATCATTTTTCTTCAAGAAAAAAGAAAACAATTCATGTCATAATCGCATCACATTGTTACATGGTTTTTTCCAACTTAAAAAGTATCTATTATTTTCACCTTTTGACTGCTTCTATTTTTTTGTTTGATAACTAATGACCAGCTTACGTCGCGATCACATATAAATCAAGAGGGGACAAGGCAAATGATCACTACCCTCAAAATATTTCTTCTGTTGATCCGATTATGGATAACATTATGCGAAAAATAGTGAAATTTTATAGTCCAACCTTGATTCGTTCTCGAGACAATCAAGACTATAAATAAACAGAGTAAATAAATCCATGTTTTGAACTGTTAAACGATGACGTGTTGATCACTGAACATAGCAGCAAAACGTTTTTGTCGACTCCAACGTTGATAAGGTGGCAGAAAGTCAAATTGCAAAAAACGTTTTCGTTATATAGCTGAATAGAGCTCATCGAGTTGTATATGTAAATATCATTTCTAAGTTTTTTAAAATGACTTTCTTGCGGAAGAATTGAAAAATCTTAAAAATGTGAAATTGGCCAAATCTTGTTTTAACGAAACTTTTTAGTCGACTTTGTTTGTTCTACATCGAGGAACAAAAGTAGATATTACTTTCTTTAAAGTACTTCTTTGGTGAAAAACTGAATTTTCGTTCAAGTCTACTGGTTTTTCACGTTGAAGGGAGTAGGCATTTATTGATAACGACGTGAAGGCTCACCGAAATTTACTTGAAATTTTGACACATAGGTAAGGAACAACCTGGATTCGAACTCACATATCGAAAAGACCTCTATCGGATTTCTAGAGCCACATAAAAATCCTTTCCAGTTGAAAACAATACTAATAAATATTATACAGGTAAAACAAATGATATTGATCAACGATACGCCCAACATCTTGCTGATAAAGGTACCGTATGGACAAAACGCTATCCACCAATTAAAATAATTTTATCTCGTACTATGAAAGATAAATGTGATGAAGTTACTACAACATTAAAGTACATAAAACAATATGGTATTGAAATGTACGCAGTGGATCGTGATCACAACTGAAATTAGCGAAAACACGCTTACATGAACTCAAACTGTTATTAGCATTCATACATGCTGCTCGTTTGAGTCGTGAGCAGTTTGGACACTAGGGCTGGCTCTTTATTTCTCATAGTTGTCATACATTTATAGAACCTCACTCAGCCTCACACTACAGTGTGAAGAAAGTGATTATATGTAGAAAAACTGGCCAGTAGAAAAAGAGAGAGACAATTAGTTTAAGAGTATTAGAATCCAAGGGCATACCTACCGGAGGAGAACAAAATTTGTTCTAAAATAGTGTTTTCGAACAATATAAATTGATTTGTAAAGATTCAATGTTTTCAATGTGTTCAAGATGTTTTTTAAGCCCAAAATCATTTGCATCTTGCTTATTCAACTGTTAATATACCCGTTCCATTAACTTCTTTCAGTCCACCAGCATGTCGTTCATTATTAGGAGTAGCACATGCGCCTTTACTTGTGCCGTAATTTAATTCGTATTCAATTGTCATTGTTTTCCCATTGAAACTATGGCTACCGGCAGCAATTATGCCGGAATATTTTCCACTTTTAAGACCATTTACTGTCTGTTGTTGAAGAAGGACACGAATTGTTGTGACTGTTCGACGCTTACCAACATCAACTCTAGCTGCTGCTGCACCACTTTTCACATGACGATGACTCGGTTTCGGAATCAGAATAACAATTCGAACACTGGCTTCTAAACTTGTAACATTTAATGTTTCACAGGTAACATTCTGAACACCCTTTGCGAACTGTAAACGATGCCTGTGTAACATTACCATTACCAGTACAATTTGTAAATTTTGAATGATTAATAATTGTAATTTTTCTCGGCGTTGTCTCGGTAAGTTGAGTGATGGCGATAGTGTGTATAGCATAAAAGAAAGAAATTATATCTAGGGCGGGACATTGTACCGAACTAACTTGATAACGAACTTCAAATTTCTGATTTTTCATTCTATCGATTAGATCGACTAACTTTTGCCAGGGCGTAGCTGTGTACATTCGAAACTCTCTGCCCCATTCTTTATTAGCAAACGACTGTCAACTCGAAACTCAACTATTTTCTATCCATATTTCTGACTCCCTGTTATGCTTAGGTAACTCGTATCGTTCTGAGCCTCAAAATCCGAATTCTAATAGCTTTTTTGACAACCTAGAACTGTTTCTCTTTTCTAATCTCCCTCAAAATTACGAAAATCTCATTCTAACTAGAGATTATAATGCAGATCCGACTGATAAAAATGTATTTGATGTTTTATGTGCTTTTTCTGACACTTTCTCTTTCTCGAAAACACAACCACCCGCAACCACATCTCTCGGTTCGTGTTTAGATTACATTCTGTACCCTTCTATTTACAACCAACCTTCTTTATCCGACTATCCATCTATCGGTGAGTCAATCCACTTTTCTTTAATTGTAACATTTGATTTCTTCCACGTCAAACAAACTTCTACGTCTTTTAAAGTCATTTAGGATTTCAGTGAGTGCGATATTGAGAAACTAAACCATGCTCTATCTGACCTTTCTAGTGATGTCTATTATTCTGGTGATCCTAATGTAGCAGTTACTCTTTGGGAATCACATGTTAATTTGTGCTTATCCAAGTTTGCGAAATGTAAACAAGCTCCTCTGTCTTCATCCTTTAAAGTTGCTATATAAAAACAAACTAAAAAGTTAATGAGAAAACGAAATCTTGCGTATAAATAACATCGAAAAAATCCTACTGATGAAGAAAGTCTTTTAAAATTTAAACTTTCGCGAAATAATGTTCTTTCGTCTTTACGAAATGACAAGAAAACAACTTTCTCTTCTATTTGTCGCTCATTTTCAGTTCCTACCAAGTTCTGATCGTCTTTAATAGATACAGAACATCTAAATAAAATACTTGTCAATTAATTTCTGACAGTGATAGGATTTCTTCTTCTCCTTCTGAGACCTGTCAAAAATTTAATAAATTTGTTGCCTCATGTTATACTAATTACAACGGACCACTGCCGCCTTCACGTACCATTTATTCTGGTCAAACTCTCAATTCTATCGTAATAACTGAAGAATTAGTCTCAGAGGCCATTAGTAAGTTACGTGATACTTCTAGTGTAGGCACTGACGACATTCCTATTCATTTCTTCAAACTTTGTACGTCATGCATCTCTAAGCAGTTGGCTTATCTTTTTCAACTCTCACTTGTTAAAGAAACCTTTCCTGATAAATGGAAAACTTCTTTAGTTACTCCCATCCATAAAAAAAGGACCTGTTGGTTCTGTAGATAACTATAAACCAATTTCTCTTCTGAAATACTGTGAGTAAAGTTCTTGAGAGAGTCATCCACAAAGAACTTCTTGATCATCTTTTGTCTAACCAACTTTTGTCTGCAAATCAGTTCGGTTTCAGACCGAATGCTTCGACCATCGATGTTTTACTATGTCACGAACAGATTATTTGACAGCGCCTCTACTAACAAAATCAGTATTGGTGTGAGTGTCGACCTAGCTAAGGCTTTCGATCGCGTACCGCACTTCGTTTTAATACAAAAACTGCAATCCGTTAGTGTAGATGATAAACTTCTAGTCTCATTACTGACCTAGTCGTCGGATTAGTCGGTGCAGCCGCATTAGTATTCGTTGCACTTGGAAGTTACAAAGCATATAAACGAAAAATAGGCAAAAAACGATTAATTGACAACGGTAATGAAAGTGGTATCAGCAATGGCAATGATGTAGAATTAAATTCGCCACCAAATGAATCTAATGTACCTATACCTTCACTGACTGCAACAAGCGTAATTCGACGTACATTCACCTCGTCACCAGTCACAATACAGAATGAGACAAATGCACTAGGCATGCAGCGGTAACGGTTTACCGGTAAAACAGAACCCGGTTAGAAAAGCTTTCCATAAGTTTGAGTAAGTTCTTCTGAGTGGTCTTGTGACAAAAGTACAGAATACCTACGGTTACCGGTACAGAACTTTCTCTAACTGTCTTTTATCGGCTCATTTTTGTCACGGTTTACCGTTGTTCACCGTTACCGTTGCATGCCTAAAATGCACAATCTACAACAGCAGCTAGGTCAACAATATATAGCAACGAGCCAGAGTTTCCACGATCAGTATCCGATCGTCACATGAATGTACCACTACCGCGTGTTGGATCAGAGACTATTAGTACTACAACCCTGGCTTTCACAAATCCATATGAAAACGCATCGTTACCAACTGTTGAACAAATCAGATGTGAATGAAGAACGGATCAAACAAAACTGCTACTTTTCTGCCTTTTAGTTTTTTCCAAGTATATTTTCTAAATTCCTTTTCCTTCGAAAACATTCCATTTAATATTCCGATTTGAAAACTTCTCGTTTGGTTTTTTATTCTCACAGCATCAGAAATAAACATTTTTTGAGCCGTTTTGTCCAATGTTCAGAAATGCAGAAATATCAATCAAATAAAGTGTACGTGCTGAGCTAAAATGCCTATATCTGAATGTGTTTATTTCAATTTAGTTAATAAAAAAGATGAATATTGCCATTATTTCTTCAGAATGAATGTGAGAACATGATCAGGTAGAGAATTCCGATTTGTAACAACGCCTAAAAAATTAAAATAATTCGACTTTGCTGCACATCGCTCGTTGCACCCCTGTCCACGCCTACTTGACATCTCCTCGCCACTTAAGGCATATCTGCCATTCCACCCACTGGATCATTATCTCGTTGACAGATGCTCGGAAACAAAATTTATGCAAGCTTCGGATACTTTTATCTCAGGTACAACTCGACAGACTCTTCCTGAGCCTATGCTTCGATATGTCTACGCCACTTTTCATACATCCGTCTTTAAGAAAATCCATCTAAAATGCTCTAAGTTATTTCCAGATAAGACAGTCGACCATCAAAGGACACGAAAAAATTAGTTAGAGAAAAGAATTTAAAATTTCTTTAGTTAAAATGTCGTCAAACTTTGTTAAAAGCTATTGAGTATAGAAAATTGTCAAATAAAGTTTTAAATGCATTTACGTAGGATAAATATTGACACTTTTCTAAAAAATCGCAGTTTTCAGATTCAAAATTTTGGTCCAACTTAAACAAATTTCGAAAGTGTTTTTCTGATTATCCTAATCGGCTGGATAGTAACACTGCACAAGGATGTACGGATCTTGATAAGACAGAAACGTTCTCGGGATTAGGGGTGGCACATTACTATTACTGTTACCAGTAATACAAATATTGTATATATTACTGTTACTGGTAACAGTAATACTGAGTAGTATTCCTATTATTAGTAACAGTAATACTAGCAGTATTAGTGTTACCAGTAACAGTAATACTCATAAAATTAGTATTACTTTTCAGTAAAGTAATACAAGAACAAAAAAATTCAATAGGGGCACCACTATCAACACGAAACCATCATATTATTTCGTATTGATTGTGGCGCCCCCTGTTGAATCTTTTTGTTTTCTTGTATTACTTTACTGAAAAGGAATACTAATTTTATCAATATTACTGTTACTGGTAACACTAATACTGCTAGTATTACTGTTACTAGTAATAGAAATACATGGAAGATTACTGTTACCAGTAACAGTAATATATACCTTTTAGTATTACTTTTCTCGGTAATGTAATTTAGTGTTGCGCAATCTCTTTTGTCTGTTAACATCTTGAATAATCTAATAAGGCGTCGTAGAGAGTTATCGCTTTGAATATTTTTCATCACAAATAACTGAATTAATCTCAATGATAAAGAGCTATATCCTACTTTTCTAAGTTTACAATAGATAAATAATTTAGTCCTTTGTTAGATCAATGGATTCCATAGAGATAGGACCAAATTATTTATGTATTGTAAACTTAGAGAAGACTTTTCAAAACTAAAAAATTTCGGCGCTAAATTCTGATATACAAACTTGAAATATAATTACTGCTGTTAAAGAAATTGTATAGTTTTTCTTGTGTGAGTATGTGCTAAAACATTACTTTTAATGATACTGTCGGATCAGATTGGGCCGAAAGTCGTGCAACAGGGAGACTGTTCCGTATATGTTCGGGTTTTGTTTTTAGACTATCGGCGGTAGAGAGGAAATATACAAGTATCCAATATCCCTAAATGATTTTGTGTGTGCTTCGGTGGAGTACTTATCCTGACAAGACGCCAAGCAAGCAATAAACCATTTTAACAGTAAATCTGAAAACTGTTAAAATAAATACCGCTTACGCAATATGAATTTTATAGACAAGTCTTTGTTTATATTCCAGAATAATCCGATCAAAGTGGAGTTTAGCAAGAATTATTATCGAAAATATGGAAATCAACGGCAATGAAAACTAGTATTTAGAACAAGTGGCGTCTCACAAGAACAAGAACGTTTTTTTGGGGGGGGGTGGCAAACTTCGTGTTTTTCTGTATTGTGAGTGACACACTGTTAAATAGAATATATGTGACGAAATAGGTTTTATTTTCAATCTGAAATGAGTTTCATTAATCATACATAGCTACTGATTACAATCAGCGCGAGTTTTTAATGCACAGCATACCATCAAAAGAAATCTAACATGGTTTTTACTTTTTCTGACTTTTCAAAACTGAAAAATTTCGCCGTTCTGATATACAAACTTGAAATATAATTAGGACAGTCAAAGAAATAGTAGTTGCTTTACTGAGAGATCTGAGATGCGTGCATAACTATACATATTGGCTAGCATTTGCCAAAAAGTGAAAGGATAGAGATATGCCCTAGTTTTTCGGTTTTAATGACTTTTACTTAAAAAAGGTATTACATAATTTATTTTATATTAAGATTATTTTAATGGTAATGAATTTTACACACATTTATAAGGTGAAGTTTCTATGTCAGTAACTTGGAGAACACAGTT